CCAATTTCATTTATCAGCAGCCCTACAGTTTGTTTGTAAAGGCAAATATCTCTTTCCATTCATCAATCAGTGGAATCCATCCCATTGTTTCTTTTATCTCTCAGTGCTTAACCTTATCTACAGGCTGATCCACAACTCATTTGTAAAGACAAATTCAACATTCCTCTCAAGTCTTAAAACTGCAGAATTCAATATTCAACACCAACAGAACAGACGATTTGGGGATATAGGCATCACACAGTCACCCCAAGACACAGCTGAATGCTGCGAGCCTGACCTGAGACTGGTGTTTGAGCAGCAGATGGGAAGAGGTTTATGTCACTGGGAAAATACCCTTGGCAATATGGAGGCATAGGGGGAGTATTTGTCAATTTTTTTTTTAATTTAGTGTGTTAAGCAGGTGAATCTTGTGGGAAGAGGCAAAGATTAAGCCTTTTGGCTGATGCTGTGGAATAGGTTTGGTAAGCTCTGCGCTGTTACTGACTTTCTCATAGGCGTTCCACAGATCTCTGTTTCTCAATTATTCACTTTTATGAATGTGTGAGATTATACAGAGTTTAAATTTATTGCCAACAACTTGTACTTTAATTTCTTTCTTTATTTTTTTTTCTGTTCATATTTCCCTAACAGAAGTGCTTAGAGTGAGGATTCAGTCTCACATCCTTGTTATTTTGCTCTACCTTTGCAAATCATTGACTTCACTTGTATCTATGTAACCTTAAGTGTCTTAAATTACTTTTAATATTAATGTCTTTTTCTTGATCTTTATTGCATGACTTGAAGGCAGGAATCATTTTGGGGTGTATTGTTCTTTTCAAATCAGTCATCACTCTAAGGGAAAAGATTTTTGTGATAGAAAACAGTGTAGTTAAAATTCCGTATGAATTTCTATTATAGCAGCTCAGTAGTTACTGCTTTTGCTAAAAGTATTTTTTCAATTGAAATTCTATGCCCAGACCTTTATATGGAGATAGTGATTATAAAAAATGCAGCGAGAACATAATTCTACGTCAATTTCTTTAACTAAACAGAAAATACTGTTTTAATAATCTGGATATGTAATTTTTTCTTTTGTTTATTTATTGATATGAGTTTTCACTTCCAAAATGCAGGTAGTTCAGATATCACTGTTTGGTTTATGGAGACCTAATAAATTGAACAAATAAAGTTGTCTTTGTGTGATATTATCATCTTTCTGGACTTAAATATTTTCAAAATGTACTTTCAGGCAGCTATGGAGAAAACAAAGAAACTGGAGGAAAACGCTGAAGCAGCAAGACTAGCACATATGGAATGTAAATACACTGCAGATGTCATGCAGGTAAACTTTTTATTAAATATTTGGTAGAAGTTTACAGCAAAACGAAGATGAACTTGTAAAGGTAAAATCTTCCAAAAATGTTAAGACTTCCTTGCTCCAGTGAAAACACTGAGTAGATTTTTTGCAATGAGTGTCAAAAGTGTACAAGGTAATAGAAAAATAGCTCCTTTTTTTCAGGTAGCTATCAAGTTAATGGAATAAATATTAAAAGAAAATGTCACATCCTTATGTTTGAGAATTCAAAGTAGCATTGAAACAGTGAGGGGAAGGGAAATGTTTCACAATAGTTAAACTGTTAAAATATCCTGTCCTATATCTTTGGAATGGGCACTTAGATAATTTTGGAGATACAGTGCATGCATCCAGCTTATCCAGATGTGGGCTACTAATGCATCCTGAGACTGCAGTTCCAAGTGTGATTATTCATTTCAACTTCAAAGCTATTATATCTTCAGTTACCAGAGAAGTTTGAATATATAAAAAAATAGAATATGTATACTTGAATATTAAATTCTTGTATTATTAAACTGCATTACACAGGGTTTGACTCATTAAAGCAATTAGGGTTAATTTTAAAAAACGATTGTGAAAAACCTGTAAGATGATTGCTGAGTGATCTTGTACTGACTAAGAAAGCCCTCATACTGGACTTTTGAAAAACTAAATGAGAAAACAAAAAGGAATTTAATCTTTTTTTTCTTTTTTTCTGAGGAACACAAATAAGCATTGCCACTTCTTCAATCAATTGTTTTCTTATGACCTCCTCTAAGTACAGGCACCTAAATTTCTGAAGTGGTGATTAAATAAGTAGTGATGATTTAGTTTTCTTGATTCCCTCTCTACTTTTACAATATACAAAGGAACTGGAAGGGTAACATTCCTTGAAGTTAGAGATTTGTCTTTTATGGATGAAGAACTAGTAAGGTTTTCTTCCTTGTTTATGTGCATGAACAAGCTCCACATGAGGTTTGTTCTGAGTGCAAGTGTAGCTCTTGCTGTCAATCCCACCCTTTCACGAGTCTACATAAAAAATAGAATTCCCCTGGAAAACTCAGTAATATAAATAATTTGAAAGAGGAAAATCCAAACACCATGAAAGGACAACAAAATGTGCTTTTGGTCAGCACATATCTTTCTGTTTTGAACCCTATGTATTAATACATTTTTACATGTATTCAATGCTTTCTAATTCCATATGGAATTAATAGACTATATTCACCTGTAAAAAGCAGAACACAATGGTGAACAGCATTGAAGACCATGGTAGTCTTTCCTAATTTTTAAAACTGCTTTGTCATCTCTTGGTAGTTAAGAATTCAAGAACTTGAAGATGCTTTGAATAAAAAGCAAGGCGGCAGGAGAGAAGCTGTTTCAGTGGTAGCAAAGAAAGATTTTGGAGAGTCAGAAAATGCACATCAGAGAGGAAAAAAAGTGTAAGTTTCCTTCTAAAGCCATTGTAAAGTGGCAGTAGACGGCTTGAGTGCAGCTCATAGTTTACATTCCCTGCAATTTTAAGTCAGCAGAAAATCTAATGCAATGTGCCAAACCAACGTTCAGAACCTGACACTCCATTAATAGCAGGCCCATATCAGTAACCAAAGGTATTGTGAATGGGTACAGATAACTGGCCTGTTATCTGCCAAAAGAAAAATTTTGAAAATCATAGTCATGGTAGGGTCCAGCCTCCAGTAGTGGTTGGCATGAGAGTAGGAAAACATATCCAGCAGGTCTAGAAAAGATGGCATTTCTATATACACTTACATTATTATGAAAACATTGTTCTCCACTTCAGTGAGCCAGTTGAATCTCTAAGACTCCTGTCAAGAAGTTGTGTATCATTTATAGTGGGTAATCTTTGTTTCCAACTTTTGAATGGCCATTGAAAACTTTAATCAGTTTAAAAATATTGAAATGCGTGAGAGCAGTGGAAATCACTTGGGACATGTTTCCTGCCCAGCACAATCTGCTGTGTCTGTGGTAACAGAACTTGGATGACCTCTCTTTCAGCCTAGAACTGATATGGGTCTGTATACACAGGTGTTTATGTTGACTCACACAAAGAGTAGTGGAGAACGAAAGAAACTGGTTTTCCTACAAGAAAGGAAGTTTGTGGCTTGAGCAATTCATTCAAGATTCATGGTTACAGAGATGTTTTTAGTAAGATACTTTAAAACTTGACCTGTAAAAACCTTCATTGTCCTTTGCAAACATCAGGGTTTTTTGGCTTTCCAACACCATGCCTAAATACTCAGGCAATCTTTTTTAATTCTTCCTTGGATGCTGTCTCTGCTTTTGTCTCCTACTATTGTTTGGCCTTGTAGTTTTCTCATGAGCTGGCTATTTAGTCATGCCAGGCTCTTGATGTATCTGTTTTCCTGACTGACACAGTACAAGAACAGATTAAAATTCTAGGTACTCTGCTTTAAAAGTCATGCCAGAGTAGAGTCAGGCATGTGGGAACCTTAGGAGCAAGAACGGTACTTGAAATCAGGGTTGGTGATGCAAGATGTGACATGGTCTCTCTGAAGAGAGCTGTTGTGTTAATTAAAATATGAAGAATTATGTTTGTTATATATAATTTTTAGGTACTGTCCAAATAATCAATTGAATTTCATGGCATAAGGCTTGATAGCTGAAAACATAACCACTTGAAAAGTCATTCTTAGAAGGAATATAAGTTTCTTCATTCAATTAAAAAAGGCAGGCAACTTCAGGAGCCATATGATGTGCTAACATGGTATCTGCCATATTAATTGATTATCCTTTAAAAGAATATAGTGCATTTGACAAAGCAATTTTGGCTAAAGTATCTTATTGTGGAAACTTTCCAGTTTACAAAGACAGCATGCATCCTCAAATGTGCAATGGAGAGAGGGGGCTGAGGAAAGAAAGGAAACTGAAGAACCCTCTGGGAGATTAGTGAATGCTGCAACCAGCTTCAGCCTGCATGAAGGCCCAGTGGTAAGGAAAAAAAGCCTGTGGCACACATTGTTTTGGCTTTTTTAAGCATACTGTCAAAATATTTACTGTACTAAGGATTTGCTGCATTTGCTGTGCTGAGCTGTGGAAGAATTTTGCCATTCTCTTACCCTGTTTGCTATGTTTCCTTTTTCTAAATTTAAAACATCAATAAATGTAATCAAGGCCCTGGAGAAGCTAATTTGAAAATGTTTTTTAAGTGATATGCATCTATTTAACTGAAGACTTGTTTTCAGAAAACAATCATTTAAAAAGTATGAATAAGATATACTGGCATTCCTAATTAAGAAGGCATTTTGTAGATATGGAATATGATTTCCTGTGAAGAATGTTGTGTGTTTCTACCCAAACCTTTTTTTCGAGCTTCATTAGCTACCATTATAAAAATGTTTCTTTCTTTTCCACACAACCTTTTGGTTTTAGCACAAATATTTGACTGTAAAAATTGCTTGTTCGAATGTAGCAAAACAGGGTATTTTTTGTTGTTGTTTTGTTTGTTTGCTTGTTTTGCTGTGGATTTGGCACATTGGATGTATTTCACTGGATTATTTTTTGAAATCTTTCTCCTCTTGCATGACCACTTTGGGCCTTTCTACTGTCTTTACCCAACTACATTTTGAATTACAATTTTGCCTTTTTTTTTCATAGCAGCAGGGACAAAGGAAAGCTCTTAGCATATCTAGAAAACCTCTCTTTTCATTGTGTGGTATTGATCTATTTCAACTCCTAGCAATATAAACTTTTTTATGGCGGTGGCTTGGAAACGTCTCTTTCTATCTCAGTGCTCTGAGCATGGAAGGTAAATGTGATCTGTTCCCTGCTGACAGGAGCAGAGACCACATCAGTTCAGACCTTGTTCAGTTGATGGAGTTATTCCATGCTTTGTCTTAGTATTACTCACTGCCCAAGCAGGTCTGCAATTATTAAACTGAATAAAAATAAAGTCAGACTCTTCTTTTTTTCTTTCTGGGAGAATAACAGCTTCTTGCATTCCATCATTAATGCATTAAAAGACATTTGCTGGCCTAGTTAGCCTGAAAAGTAATTTCATCAGGCACGAAAGGAATACAAAGAGAGAAAAGCAACTGTCTGCCCTAACTACATAAGTTAATGATTGCTATTTATAACTACAAAACAAAATTACAAGCTAAAACCATTCTACTAGAAACCGTAAGTGCTTGCTAGCTGTTACAGTAAGAGTTTTCCTTTTTATTTGTATTCCTTAGTTAAATAGATATATTCTATATTACAAGAATTCAGGACAAGATTCCATTCATGATCAAGATTTCTAGTAATAGAAACAGTACTTAATGGTGTGCTCAAATTAATGTTATGTATTGGGATTTATTTTGTAATGAGACAGGACTACTGAGAGATGTTGTAAAAGATGGTTTATTGCTTTATTACATTATCAGTCTCATAGAAGGGTCAGACATTAAAGGTGTTACACCCAACACCATAACATCAGAAGCCAATCTAATTTTCAGTTACAATGCTTTATATAAGTTTTTAGCCAATCAAAATTCACTAGCGTCTTCTTACACCAATCATTAATTCCTTTGTGTTTCATAGCTTTACCACAATGTGTCATTTTTCAACCAATCATCTAACACTTTATAAATTTACATTGATACATCTTAAACATCCAACAAACTTTATAACAGGTTCTGTTGCTAAACTTTAAAATAATTTACTATCTTACTTAACATACTGCTTCGCTTACATAATGCATATCTCCGTTTGCTTAAAACATACTGTTACGGAAACTACAAACTTATATTCTTGTTTTATGACTGTTTCACTTTTAATGCTCTCATTCTCGTAGCCTTCTCTAAGGTCTTAGGTCAAACCTTGTATCCATCTCTCGAGCCTGTATGCACTAGGCCTTGGGACTTTTCTGTCCCTGGATTTCCCACAGTTATATTACTGAAAGGTTAAACAAAAAAGAGATTGATTCACTGTCATAGTCATAGAGTTGGTTGTTTAAATTGTTTTACTCAAAGGATTTCAAACCACAGGACTGTCCTAAGCAGGTAATAAAAATACTCGATTTTGGAGTAGTTGTATTAGTGGTTCCCTTGTGAGATTAGATATTTATTGCCTTGGATGGCTTTGTATTTCTCCCAAAGCTTTTTGTATTTATTTGGGATGTCCTTGTATGTGATCCTGTTGGCTCTATTGATACAGCTTTCATATTGCTTCCCAAACCAAAAAATCAGAAGACTGTAGCAGAAACTAAGTATAGATAACATTTAATATATTGCTGTTGGACTTTGCTCTACCCATGCTAAAACTGTGTGAAAAAGTCAGTGTGTTCTCTTCCCTTCATTTTCATTTCCACTTTCCTGACCTATACAGTATTTTTTCATATTTTATACCACTTTTATGCTCTCTGAATATGTTCTTTCCATTCCAGTCTGATAATTTTATATTGATCTCTAATTGTACTGATACAGTGATTTACATACTTCGTGCTCATGGCATTTGGGATACAGCTTTCTATTATCTTAATCAAAGTTTCTAAGTTGTTTAAATGTACTAAATGTATGAAGAATTGAATTTCTACTGCATGCTTTTATTCCTATAGTTTATTTATAACCTGAAGCAATTTATTATACCATTAATTTAAATCACTGTAAATAAATGAGGCATGGCTTGTGGAGTTTGACTGATGGCGACCTATTTTGGCCAGTTATTTAATCATATATAATCCATGCAAAACAAATTTTAAAAATAATTAAAGTGTGTTGTGCTGCCAAGACAACTGGACAATTTTCTGTGCACCATGTAGGTGTTGGGGCACAGTTTGAATGCACCTGAAAGTATTAACAGGGGTGAATGAATTGGATCTACTAAGAGCATGGAAATTTTTATCTGTGCCAGGTCATGATTGTGGTCCCCAAGGGACTGGGATTTATTCACATTATTTACATACTGTGTCTAATTAGATACATTTTGTGAAATCTGTTTTCTTACACTGCTGTAATATTATGCAATATTATGACTGCAATTGTTAGAAATTAACTGAGGAATTTTGTAAAGCTGCGAGAATAAACTGTGAGGGTTTGTTTCCAGCTGCATGCAGCGCTGCTACTACGCATATGATGCATTTCTCTTGATTTTAACATTGCCCAGATACAGCAATAAATTTTTGTGTTCCAGAAGGAGCTGTCCATCCTCCTGAACATATTCCAGAGCATGGCAGACGGCCATGTGATTGCCAGACACCCGGACGTTCCCCTGGAAGTGTTACCTTGGAGAGAGTTTTGTGAACTCTTGCGTGAGAACGTTGAAGCCCTGATCTTGAACTTCCACGAGGCTAACAAGAGGGTGAGTGTCCCCAGGCACCAGCTGCCTCTGCTGAGCTCAGTGACATTTGTTCACACTGCAGTCTTGATAAAAAGGACTGATATTCATCCCCCCCCAGAAGGATTTGGACGTTAACAAATGAATACCATTAATTACGGCTTGTCCACTGCTCAGTTTGATGCTGTTGCTGTGGGCATTTAGATCTGACTGGAGTGTGCATCAGTGTCTCAGCTCCACTTTCTGTGCAGGACATTCTGAAAGGACATGATAGTGATATGAGCCACAAAAATCCTAATTAAAAGATAGTAAATTCATCTTACTGATAAAGAAATTCACAGGATGTACTCATCAACAGTCATGAACCAAGTTTTTATTTTACCATAATCCAGATGTACTATTTGAAAGAATGCCAGTGTGGGGTTTTTTTTGTTTAATTGTGACTTTTGGATTATGACATTTTTATTCAGAAACACAATAGAAATACCTATCATAAAACATGTCAGTATTTGTGTGGAGAAGGAGTTGTATTTTCTGAGTTATTTTAATGCACATGAGCTTACTTGGCCTTTCTCCCCAGAAATCCTTGTGTTTTTAGAAAGGAAAAAAACCCTTTTTACGTAAGTCAGCTGGTTCTTGAGACTAAGTTGTGCCACTCTTTAGAATTTCACTTTTTGTTCTGGTTTATTTCTCTTTTGAAGTAGGGGAGGAAAGGGAAGGAAAGGGAAGGGAGTGAATATTGTTGGCAGTGTTTGTGGGGCTTGTGTCTTATTGTTGCTTGCTTTTTAATTAAATATTGTTATTGAGAGTGATTGTGAGGTCTCTAGGGCTCTTTTGATGTACTTAGCCGCTTTTCTGGGATTTTAGATTGTGTTGTACAAAACTTTTTTTCCCACAGTTCGGTGTGATCTATCTGGAAGTATCTTGCTGATATTTCTAGTAACAAGGTGCAGGTGTGTCCATTTGGAGATCATTGTTGGCTTGGTTCATTCCTCCATTTAGTTTGCATGGGAGCTGCAATGGTAAACCACAAGGGTGAATCCGTTCACCCTTGTTGAAAACACACCATAAACTTGTGAGCTACTTGTAAGGAAAACATTCTCTATGCTAGAATTCCCTGAAATGGTTTTAAAACTTTATAATAATCTGGAATGTCTTTGCTTTTCAACAGCAAAAACAACAACGACAAAAGCCCAACCGAAACACAACAAAAAACCCACAAACAAAGAAACAATTAAAATCTGTTTTTAAATTATTGTTTGCAATGGTCACAGACTTCTAAAGGATGTACTTGGATTACTAATTTACTAAAATGCAATACAGTTCTTTTAAAAAATGTATGAGGTGTCTGCCTCGGGTTTCCTGAAAGAGGGTGACATCTGTAAAATGGTATAAGATGGCAAAACCGAAATCAAATAGAATACTTTGTTTCAAAACAAATTTCAGTTTTGTTTTGAGAACCAAGTAATTAATCTGCCATGAAAAGTTTTACTTAGTTTTAATAAAAATATTGTAGAAATTACGTTTTAGATTTTATGCTGGAATAGTCTGTGCTTAACTTAAAGTGAAAAGGTAAACCGTAATTTCTTCTTAAATGCTTGTCACACAGATATCTCACCTGGAATATATTTGCAAGCACAAGACTTACACTGTGAACAACCTTCAGCGGAACCAGAAGAATGCTTTGGCAAAAATGTCTGAACAGTTAAAAGCACAAGAACATTGCTGGCAGAAAGAAAAGAAATATCTTGAACACCAGTACTCAAATCTCCTTGCAGAAGTTCATGCAAGAGCACAGGTATGGTGCTGTGAATTTGTTTTTCTTTAAACATTTGATGGATTATTTCTGTAGTTTAAGCCCCTTAGCAGTTTAAGTTCATCTGGGAATTTTAGTATATTTTTAAAGTTAAAAAAACCCAACCAAACAACAAACCAACCCATCACTGTGCTGATATTAACATCACTTAAAATAAGAAATAAATGACTTTATTGAAGCATTCTGAAGACAATTTGACCTACAGCCCCAGTTCAGAAGCCTGATTTGGTCTACAGTTGGAAGTATTTTTTTTCCTGAGAGTGTTAAAGCTGTAAGATTGAATTTGCTTATTTTAAGAATTACTGAGGGCAGCAGCTACTTTTTCAGCATCATCATTTGCAGAGATTGTATAGAGTAACAATAATGTGGTGTCACCTGGGGATAAATTTAGTTACATGTGTACTGACCCTAAGAACAATGGCAGATTTCAACAGTGTTAAGTGACTCTGTTTTATTGATACTACAGTGAGAAGTGATTTTAAAATGTAAAACTCTCACTACTTGTTAGATTAGTTATTTGCATTCCAAAATGTTCCGTTTTTCCACAACTATCACTTACTGTCTTTACCATCACATTCCTTCCCACCTGTTTCAATTAAAAGTGTTGAGAAAAAAGTAAATAGATGTCCCTTGTTATTTGTGAGTTACTGCAACTTATTTCATCAACATAATGCTGTATTTGATGCAGATTTCAGGACTGGAAATCTTTGCATGCTGAAAAATTTAATCTGTCTAGTTTCATGTTCCAGCCTTCCTTATTTATTTCATCTCACACTGGCTTCTGCTTGGTAGAGCAACGTTCTCTCTGAACTTGGAGGATGTTATTACTGTTGTTAAGTCAACTCATAAAACTATATTATGGGCAGACAGGTGGACATCCTGTGAACTGTCATGGTATTGGTGGATTGTTGTCAGAATTCAGGAGTACATTTGCAGTTGATGATCAGACAAATTTCCCTCTTACCTTTGCTTGGGTGTTATACATCTGATTCTATTTCATAGTTGTTTACTAGAAGAGATACTTTCATCACCATCATTACTAACAATTTCTGTTCCTTTAATGCATCGTTTGAATGGCAAAATTAACAATTTTCTTTTAGCTCTTGTCTAGGTAAAAACCACCTTGTTATTATTTCTCCCATTTTCGTTTGGTTTGTTTCTGTCGCAGGAATGTGAAGAAATTTCACAGAAAAGCAGGCAAAAACTGTATGGCCTTGAACAAATCTGTGAGAAGCTGGCCCATGAGAACAATTCTGTGAGAAACGCATTATCGCTTGCTCACAAGGAGCGCTCATCTCTGCTGGCAGCCTGTGCACTGCTGTCAGGGGCCCTGTGTCCTCTCTACAGCAGAGTGTGTGCTATGTCTTCCCAAAGAGATATTCTCCAGGTCCAGGTGAACCTCCACGAATTAGTGAACCAGAAGATCAGGAGCCTCCTTTATGGTCTCCCTACTATGGAAAACAATCAAGAGGAAGAAAGGCGGAGAAGAGCCAAACACCTGATTTATGTGTTCCGAAGAGCTGTTATTGCAGTTCTGGCTGCTAACAGGCTTAGAATCCTGGCCCAATATTCCTGCTTCCTTTTTCTCTGGACAGATGGCTCAAGAGGAAGCACTAGAATTCAAGTTTGTGTGGGAGAATCTAGAGGCAGGCATCACATGTCACGTAAGTGAAATGGTTTTAAAGTGTTACATCAAATTACATGGTTAGGGAATAACAAGGAGCAATGTTGTTACTGCTGGGGCATAAAGACATATTTAATGACATTTTGACAAATATTATTTATGGATTTATGGTTTTTATGTTTCTTGACAAATATATTTCACTCTAAGAGGAAATTCCTCTCTATGATAGTGTGTTAAGCATTGGAAGTAAAATTGTAATTATACACATGAACTCAACACTATCTGATATCATTGATATTTGTGTTATGGATTTCAAAACTAAGTGCTACAGCATCTTCTCTGTAAATATCTTGCAATGCTCTAAAATGATTAACCATCAACTTGTTTTTTGTTGTTTGTTTTGGCGTTTTTTTTAAAGGTATTCCCTCTTATTTTTGAATAGTTTTTAATATTTATTTCCTACTAAAATCCGGAAAAATTTGCTTTCTGATTCAGGTGAAATATTAGCATAGGATTTAGAAATTTTCTTTATACATTATGTCTATTTGTCCCTCTTTGTTGCCAGATCAGTGTATGCTTCCCCCTACAAGGATAAGTGGTACCAAAAATATTTTGCAAATTAGAAGATTAATCTACTTTTTTTTTTTAGTAGTCCTGGAAACATGCTTAATATGGTTGGCTACAACACATGGTCTAAATTGTCCTGATTAATTTGTGGTTTACGTGCTTATTTTTGGTTAATTTCTGAAAGAGATGGAGATAGCAGTATGCCATATCTCAGTAATTCAGTTATCCTGCTAGCTGCAATTCTGTTTCACAGGTTTTGAAGAGGAAGGAGTTGACTCTATTGAAGCTCTTGACTGGTTGACTAGCTCTAACCTCTATACTGCAATAATCAGTTCCTTCTCTGAACTGCAGGATGTTCTCAGCAAACCAGGTAATTTTAACAGTATATTGCTGTAGCAGAAATACACGAAAAAATAAACAAATTTTAGTGGGGCTGTTTCCCTGAAGTGGTAGTTTTATTGCAGGGTAAAATAATATCCCTCTTCTACATTCTCTGAATGATCACATCTCTGTACTCTTGGAGCAGATTAATTTTCTTTAATGGCTGATAGGATATTTTATCCTTTCAGTATTTGGAGTCATGGAAGCGGAAGGCTGCAGAGTGTTTTTGGAGTCTATCTGCAGTAAGAACTGAAACAGGTTTCCTTGGTTCATTTGCATTGCTGCCATCTCTGTTTTTTTATTAATCTGGAGATTTAGAGTAGCCACATTTTTGTCACAGAAAAAATAACATTAGAAGAGGGATAATTTATATGAATGAAGGCAAATAGCAGGACGAAGACAAGGTGATGCATTTTCCAGAAGGCTGAACACTAAATTGGTATAAAAGTTGCCATTGAATCACATGTATTCAAATTCCGTTTCAGGCACTTTCTACTTTGATCATGCTGTTTTCAAAAAAGTGAATTAATATCCTTAAAAAGCAAAGTTTGAGCCATGTGTCAGATTCAGTATTCTGTGTTTCAGAATATTTACAAATTCCATCCTGTATACATGAAAAAGAGATGGATATTACAAGACATCAGAGCTAATAACCTTCTTGATGTTTCCTTTTTGTTATTGTTTCTTAAAGATCCAAAATCCTGGCTTTCTGGACACTCACTTATCAACGCAGCCAGGAACTCCTTTACAAAACTGATGGACAACCTGAGTGTATTGATGGAGACAGGACAAGGGAAACCCTGTGGGTGCAGAGTTTACCTGGAGAAGGACTCCCTTATACAGAGGCTGGCTTGTGGACTCCACAGAGTAAATGCCCAGGCCCTGGAAGCTGGATTGTATGACAGACTGCCTAGCTCAGTAAGCAGATTTACAGTCCTCCTTCATGGAAACAGAAGGTTTACAGTAGCAGTGAAGTTCCCTTGATAGCACCATTTATTTTTTTTCAGGCTGGTCATGAGTCCATGACAATGAACTATGAGGACACTCGGGAGCTGATTTGTCATACGTTAGGGTGTGGATAGGTCTTTTCTTTTATTGACAAAGAATTTTTGGAGGAGGTTGTGCATATCCAAGTAAAAGATTTTTTTTGAGGTTCTATCAGAACTCTATTAGCTAAAAAGAACAAATTTGCTTTTGGCTTGATGTAAATGTTAAGGCTGCTTTTTATCATTGTTTTCTGTTTTCTCATTTTTACCATCCTTTCTTTCAGTAGATAACCTTCTTCCCTTTAACCAAAAGGAAAGGCTAAACTCTTTCTCTCATAATCTTTTATAGTAGACTTTAGGTGAAAATAGTACTTCCTTGTAAACAGAATTTGCAGTTACCCTTGGTAAGTTACAGGTTCAAATTTTTGCCCTTGTGTACGTCTTTTAGAGATGGAGGAAAAAAAAGATAGTTTTGTCTTAATTTTCTTGCCTCTTAAATATGCTTAATTTTATTGCTGAAATAGCAGATTTTATAGCTCATCAACTTGTTTTTGTTTGCTGACAGAGAAACATAGCAATCTTGCAGCAAGAAATACTTGAACTTTCAGGATGCTTTCATACAGCAGAGGTAGAGGCCCGCTCACTGTTCCTGCAGCTTGTAGAATTCAAATGGACTTTCAATGAGATGCAAAAAGATGTTGAAAAAGCCCACAGACTGCAAGAGCAATTCAGTGAACTTCAGCGTGTAAGTATATTTGATTTGGAGACTCTCTTGCTTAAAAGAGATTCTCCTTTCTATACTTTTTTTGTGTTCTTTTGGAAAAACAAGCATAACATTTATTTACTTTCAACAGACTTTTCCAGAAAACTTGCCTTGTAAATGTCACTAAACTAGAAGTCAGATGTATTTAGAAATATCGCTTTTCCACTGGAGTTTCCTTTTGATTTGTAGAAGGAAATATCCTGCATAAATTACAGTTTAGCCTTCAGCAGTCCAGGTTCTCCCATTTGTTGGAAATGTTGATGTGATTTATGTATCCTAAAAGGAGATTTCACTTCAACAAGTCAGCTGGAATGAGAGTATTCAATAAGAATGTTCACGAGAGGTTAATGAAATATAAATTTAACAGTTTAAATTCTCTATGGATGTTGATGAATGTTATAACAAATATAAATACAAATTTTAGTGGGTCTGTTTCCCTGAAAAAGTAACTTTATGGCAGGGGGAAAAAAGCCTTTTTCTACATTCTCAGTAGTACAAATACACAAAATTCGCCTGAGTCTTTTGCTGTTGCTGATTGACTTACTGAAATACTGTGGGTTCCCTAAGCTGAAGCATAGTTTTTAGAACTTGTCAGTGTATCCCAATCCAAACACTTTGGAGTAGAGAATATCTGCTAGATGATATTGCACCCATCGTCCTTCATGTTCCCAGCCAGTAAAACGGAATTTTTTTTTATTTAAAAATATCTAATGGTCTTCAGTTTTGTTCTTAACAGGTTTTATTCCCTCAGTGTTTTGGGACAGTTAGATGAAAATTGTCACATTTTAGATTGTAGTTGAAATGCAGATTATGACTTTCCTTGAAGAATTATTTCTTCTTTTGGAACAGTTTTTGGAGAGGAAAAACAGTGCACAAATGTGTTTGCAAGGATTAATAAGCTATCCACTAAAATTTTGAACATTGATCTGCATATTTTTCTTCTAAATATTGAAACTTTGCATCTTAGGGTACAAATTTGAATAGAATACTGAGTGCCAAGACTTTACATGAATGTTCTTTATAAAAAACATAGTAATTAACTGTCTGCCATTTATTGTTCAGTGATCTGTCTTCATGTTAACCAGCCTCTATACTAATCCTAGGCATGTGTTTGTTTTAGAATTTGGTATGTTTGTAAGTGGAAGTCAGAAAGTCAGGTAGGGAAACCGCTGCATATTGTTACAGAATCAGACACAATTTATTTCTCTTTCCAGAAAACAATCACCCAAGACAATATACATGAGGTATTAGAAAAAGCTTTGCACCGTGAGAATGAGGCAAGGTTGCTTTTACAAGAACACGAGCAACGGCTTCAGATGTTGAGTAGCAGACTAGAATTGCACACAAGTGCAGACACTGATAGAAGCCAAGACTCAAATGTATCTGTGATGGTAAGATTGTTCTTCTGGAGCAGTCACCAGAATTTGATCTTTTGTTAAATAGGCCAAATAGAGCAGTCCTTGTGTAAATAAAATAACAGGAGTAAATGCACACAGACACTATTCAGTCTGCTGGAATTTTAGGCTATTGAGAAAACACTTCAAAGACTTTTTTTTTTTTAAGCTATGGATGTTCTATTTTTAAAAATTTAAGAAAAAGCCTTCAATGGGTGTTTGATTTGAGGTTTTTTTGCCTACAATAATTTTGTTTTCTAAAACACATTTATATATAGCAAATATACTAAAATCTCGGGGGGTTCTGAGTCAGCACTGCTTTTGCTAGGAAATTCATAGAACCTTAGTATGCAGTGGTCCAAATCTACTTCACAATCAGTTTGTCTTCCACATTGGTCAGTAGCCAATGGCACAAAGCGAAGTTTATTTGGCCTGATGAGTAACTCTGCTCTCTGTCTGCTGGCAGAGCCTCTCAGATGCAATGGAGGAGTTGAGGAGAAGAGGCCGAGTTCTGAATCACCAGGAGAAACTCCTGAAAGAGATGGAGCTGGAGCGGCAGTGGCTGCGGGAGGCTCTGCAGGAGGCAGAATGTGCCCTCCAACAGGAAGCAAAGTGAGTTCTGGGGCCTGTCCCTCAAAATGAACAAAAATTTCAATTCCCACTTCTATGGGCAGGGATTTGGACCTGGCCAGTGTAAGACAGGAGGAAAGTACATCGGTCTCTTTTTTTTGAACTTCAGGGATAGTCTTCTAAAAATAAAACCATTAGTTCAAAATACTAGGTCATACATTTTATGCAGTTATCCCATAATAGTGCACCGAATTCTGGGTGCTGAAATCACTGCAAACAAAATACCTGTTCTATCTTACTGATCTGACAACATCTCTTTGGCAGATCCTTAAAGCTCTGTTTATTTAAGAAGTTATTGTTCCCTGAATTTCCATGCCATCTTTTTATAGACAAATACAATTTATTTATAGTAAATACAGAAGCATCAGGTAGGGGACAGGTCTTAGCTACCAAAGAGACTGAAACCTATTTTGGACCTAGCCTTTCCTGTGGGACAAGATAGATCTTCTGGCTGATTTCAGGGGGTTATGGATTTAGACCTAATCCCCCTACCATTTACACCATAACCTGGAGTGGAAGGAAAGGCTCAGGAACTGCTCTTGAAAAGATTGGTAGTAAAAAGAGACCCCTTGACCTGAACGAGCTTATTACTAGCCTATTCTTAGACTCATTTGGTCAGATAAAAAACCAAATCTTTACACACTTTGTTTTCTAATACTTATCATAATATGAAGTATGTATTATGAATATTGTTATTCTATGGCTAAGATCTAAAAAATTTTAATTAAAATTTTTCAGCATACCTGGGATCATTCATCCTCTGGAGAACAATATCTGAGAAGTTTTAAGGGTTTTATGCACCAGGGAAATAATGCAATTCATATAGTTCTCAATGAAATATTTAACAAGCTAATTAAAATGATAAATGTTATTTGGTAGGATTTGATCAAAGCAAGTGTCACCTGCAGAAGGATATGTTCTAGAAAGCTTCTCCATTTCATCCTGCCTCAATCTATTTTTGACATTTTAGTAATGATTATTCCTTGTGGCCATACATATATCCAGAAAAAGTTATTTTAGTGTGAAGTGGCTTTAAAACTGGCTTTTTTTTTTTCTGTATATAGCAGCTGAACATCAACAAAGATAACTACCTTTCACTTCATTTTTCTAGCAACTCTTCACAACAAATAGGTTTTGGTTTTTTTCTCCCTTTGGAACATATAAGCAAAGCAGAAGAAGTAAACAGAATCTGCCAGTGTTTTGCAATACAAGAATATAATAGCATCATGCTAGAGACTTTTTATGACCTCTATATCCAAGCCATGATAGTTGTTCATTGATAGGCCTATAATTACATCTATTTTAATTGCTTATCCTCAACAGAAGCATCTTTCATAAGAAATGCATCAAATGGTGTTACATAACCTATTTTTAGAGTTTGCATTAGAGATATGAAAATGAGAGAAAATCCTAACAATTTGAGTTATCAACAATTATGTTACAAGATATGACAGCCATAAAGTAGCAGAAGATTAATTGCTGTATTGGTAGAGCTTCAGTTCTGTAAAGTTACTCCATTGTTCTTGTTTTGTTTTTTGTTTTTGTTTTCTTATAATAGAGACAAAGAGTTGATCATTAATCATATGAAAGCTGTGGATGCCACCCTAAGAGCGGTAAGAATTTGAAGCTTTCCCTCTGATTTGTTTCCAATCACGCCAAAGCCTTAGAACTGCTTATTCTCAGGTGTCTCAGTTTGAAAGACAGGTGTCTGCTAGGGAAGGCAGGAGCCTCCTTTGGACTGGAGAATGTAAACCCTCTCTCTCTCTGAGTTATTCTAATTTTGAAATTAAGGGGCTCTCAGGCAAAGATATGAGGATAGGAATAGCAGTTCTTTACTAGTATGTCTAACAAGGCACACAAACAACAACGACTGTGGCATTAATAACAAACAGAAGCAGGGACCCCGTGACCCTTCTCGGCCGAGACAGGAAAGGATGGAGGAGAGGCTTTGCTTCACCAAGCCCTGGGGCAGTCGGTCCCGGTGCCCCTGCGGGACTCCGAGGAGCACCGAGCTGGAAGGGCAGGAACGAGCAGAAGCCCCGGGGTGGTGGCCGAGCTGTATCAGAAGCTCTGTGGCAGCAGCTGGAGCTGCGGGATGTCCCGGCAGGGCTGGGGCAGCGGGGCCGGCTCCGAGCGGGGCAGGGACAGGGGACCGGGATTGCCGGGAACACGAGCGGATGGGAACAGCTCCGTCCTTTAGTGAGGTGGGTGCCAATAAGGCCCCGGGTCAGTGGCTGCTCTCACGGGCAGAGGCTCACCCCACAGAAGAAGCAGCAGCAGCTCTGGGCTGGGTTGTGGCCAATTCCTTTCCCCAGGCAACAACAGCTCCGAGCATCCTCCTCTGAAGCAGCAGAGCGAGAAAGCTGGCAGCTGCCCCAGCCCTCCTCTTCCTGCCCCAGATCCCCCGGTGTCTCTGTCTCTCGGAGAGAAATACCCCAGATAAGAGAAAATGCAGCCAGATGCCTCCTTCCCCCTGAGTTTGGCCACTGCTTTGTTTTCTTCAGTACTCTTGAATACTCACTTCTTGAGTGCTCAGTAGTCAGTGTTTCTTAGCAATTTATGGGAAGAATTCTATAGGTAAGAAGGACCAAAGGAAAAGAAACCTGACCTCCAATATCAGGGGAAAAGAAAAGTTGTTGCAAAGCAACTTCCTTTCCTTTGAGTTGAAGTTTCCCCCCTCAAATTCTTCTATCTTAAAAAAACATAGTGAAATAAAATGCAAGTTTGTAATACACAAGTTGTTCTAAATGTAGAAGTTTTGACAAACTTCACTCGCTGAGAACTACTTCTAGTTGCCAAGTGAGGACTAATGGAACACTAAAAATTGGCAATTGGGGATTTAACCCTTTACTGAGTGAGGTCACATACTTGGTGGCCATAAAACATTTGGCTTTGTGTCTGCTACTTTTATCTTGTAAACATCATAAATAGGAAAAAAAAAAGGCAAGAAGTAATAATTTGTGGTCAGAAACTTCCATGGTATTTTTTTTAAGAATATTTTAAATTCAATAGTAATCTCAAGTTTTCTCTCCGACTTGTACAATTGTGCTCTAGTATAGGACTGTTGGAAGGTCCAACAAAGCTGTATATATTAATTATTTAGGAGAAAGGACTATTTTCAACTATAGCTCTAGTGGCAGGTAGTTTTATAACTGTTTTTAATCTAGAGCAGCATAGAGCAAAAGAAGTATTTTCATACCTGGGAGTGTCAATTTCCCTTACTACATCTTTAATTCCTAGCAACATGGGAAACTCTATTTTAGTTTCTGCATTCACCAAAACTGTTGTTAATTTAATTTTCAGATACCTTTTTCAAATCTCTTTCCTTTGATGTTCATGGAAAGCAACAGAACCTAAACTGTGTGTTTCACCTGCAGCAAACTCTGATGATAGAAAATTTCCTTTGTGCCACCACATCTTCATACTGGCTTCTTTCAAACTTTGGAAGTGGATGTCATGCAACAAGTGCTGTGTTTTTACAGTGCATACATATCATATCCTTGGCCTTTCTATTTTCAGACCAGGGCAAGGTGCTTTTTTTTTTTGGTAGCATTGTCTTCCAGCACTGTGCATTAGAGATTTATTTGCAATGAAAATTCAAACATAATTTATTCATGGATGTTAGGTCCAGCAATCAATGCAAGTCCACTCAATGGGCTCAGGGAAGAGAGACCCAGTTCATCCCCATTGGTGTGTCTGAAGGAGAATTACTATTAATGCTGGGTTTGTTTTTTCCCTTTAGGTCAGAGACCAGGCTGTGCTATCAGGTGCTGCAGCAGCCACACTGCTCCCCAGCCTGCAGCTGGAGATCCTTTCAGAGGAAGCAGTGAGGGGCAGGCCAGAGGCTATAGCATTCCAGGTCAGAGTCTAAAACCAATCCTGTTTAATTGTTTGTTTGTTTGTTTGTTTGTTTGTTTGTTTGTTTGTTTGTTTGTTTTTAATTTCATTTTTTGCGTCTGAGATACAACAGGCAGATGGACTGCTCTGAGCATGTGGAGAGCAAAAAGCTTCAAAACTATTACAGTCAACAGTTGAAAGACAATTTCCTTGTGTACTCTTGCACATGATATTTCGAGATGATGGCAACTTAATATCGCAGTTACAGCGTTAAGTAACAGATGGGAATACAAACATGGACAAAAGTATATATACCAGCTAATATCCCTCTATCCCCCTCCCTTTTTTCACAATAATATACACAATACTAATTAAAAAAAAAAAAACACAAACAAACAAAACCAACTAAACAAAAAAAACAAGATTTTCATGCTTCTTCTTGGTCAGTATCAGATTTATTTCAACCCATCATTCTAGAATTAACTCTGGGTTTTTGAGCATTCTTCATTTAAAAGAAACTGCTATTTAGTATGTTTAAATATAGAAGCCATTTTGCTTATGTAGGTTTAAAGACTTTCACATTTCAAAATACTGATTTTGTTAGGACAAAACAATGAATGGAAAAAAGACAAATTAGTGCTAGGACAGAATTTTTTTCCCAATGAGAGAACAAAAGGCAGAGTGAGTACATATTTCTTTCATTGTGCTTCTCTGTCTGAATTAGAGAGACAGCAGGTAATCAAGTAAAGTGCAAGGAACTTAGGCAAGGTAAGTATTGCATGCGATGTGTAGGTTTCTGCAGTAATTCCTTCCAATTTATTGTAGATTTTGTGTTCTAATGCAGTATATAATTGCAGGATCGGGGTCACAAAATCAAACATTCAAGAAAGGCAGATTCTAATGTGGAAATTTCTCACAGTTGCCCTATTGCATGCATACATGCATTTCAATATGATAAAGATATAAATTATGTGCAATTGTCATGTTGTCACACAAAAATATGGAAATATGTGATGCCCTGAGATTCCCTGAGGTCAGTTAGCACAAATGAACTTTTACATCAAAGGGTAGAATTACAAATGCTTCCCCAGCTCAGCGATGATCCATTTTAAAGCTGAACAAAAAGTCCCATGGGTGACATCTTTTCACAGGAGACATTGTGGCAATCACCAGATTTGAAATCTTGCTTTTTAAATTTGGTAGCAGATGCTGCTTTTGGTTTGGTGTTTTTTAGTCCCATCTCAGCTCCCATTCTTTTTGACCTCACAATGATTGCAGAAGCACCTGCAGCCTATTCCCTCTTTCTGGAAAGGAATCAGAAAAACAAAATGTTGCATTTCATATTTGCACAAAGTGCTTGTGGTATAACTAACGTAGTACAGTGTATGCTGGGGAGATCACTGGTGGGGCAGAATTGTTCTTGTTCACCTGGCAGCTTCACTTGGTAACTCAGGAATACACAAACAGCACCAATTACTCACAGTCTGTGGCACTGTGAACTTCCTTTTCTCCTTCTCTTTTCCTCTTTCTCCCTTTCCCCATCTCTTTCCCTCTTTTCCTCCTCTCTCTCCCCCACCCTCATCTCTAGTCCCTGTTTGATTCCTTTCCAAGGACATTATTGAGGTTTTACTGTAAAATTGGCATTTTATAGCCAGAAATCACCTAATGGATTTTAATTTTACTCTATGCCAAATTAAGGGCAATCCTGCAATCTTGAGTGAGGTAAGCAGGTGGGAACCACTTTAGGGACACTTGTCTTTTAAAGCAGTGGAGCTGTTTGCAGGCACATCCTCTGAACTGCCTTAGTCTATGGGGAGCGCATTTCAATTAAAGGCCTTAAAATCTGCAAGAATCCTCCTTTAGGACTAGAACTGCAGTACCAAGAGATTTTGGATATTTGGATATTTTTTCTGATGAGAAAAGATGTGATATGGGTTAATTTGCCGCTGGTGTTTCCTAGATACCACAATGAAATAATCTGATTGATTTTAGCTGTGTTAACGTTGATTCTGAAAAGCAGCAGTGTGAAACCAAGGAAAGGAAAACTGCAAAAATCCCTGTTTGTGGTACTAAGCTGGTTTTTGTCTATACCAAAGGTTTACATTCAAAAGACCAATTTCATATTATCTGAAGGGAAAGATTGCAAATAAAATAGCAAATAAAATGTGATTAACCGTTGTAAAGAAGACCAATAATTTCAACAGTTAGTTGAGAGCACTTGGGGTAGATATAAAGTTACCAGTACTGCCAAATAATTTGTGCTGCCTTGTCCTGCTAACTTTATCATCAGTCTAATCAATATAAAAAAATGGGGAAATTCTTCCACTACATGCATAGAAACAGTTACATTTTTCCAGTTATATTGCAATCAGATTATTTGTTTTCAGAGGTCTGTAGGTTTACAATGTTTCTTTTGTTACTGCCAAGTTAATTTTTTTGCTGTGAAATGGAAGAATTAGTAAATTGACTCATTTTGGAAGTGTGAACATTATCCTGAAACTGTGTGGTAATTTTTTGTGAACAGAAATTAAATCTGCATTTAGTCCTGTATTGAAATAAAATGGAAAAATTGTATCAAAGCTCAATCCTGTACTGTGTTGAAAATGTCTCATTAAAGCATCTTCTAACTAGGGTGTGGAGTCATTCCCTTTTCTTAACAATATTAATATTCAAGATTTTAGAAGAAATAAAAAATCCAGATTTTAGAAGAAATTAAAAATCCAAATTAAAAAAAAAATAAAAATTGATGTTTAAGTCCTGGGACTGAAATTCTGCCTGGTTTATGAACCGTATTTCATTTCTCTGCTAAAAAAATCTGTCTTACGTAACAAATTTGAATGTGAGCTATTTGGCATTTAATTGTAGCTTGCCTGGCACTGATGATTCCTTTTACTTTTACTTAAAGCACGTCCTTTTAAGTTTTATGGATCTCTACTCGCTGGCAGCTGTCAGAGTAGAAGCATTACCAATAGGAAGAGAATCTTTGTGGGTTCACTTTGAACCTGAGGCAGCTGTGTCGCCTCCTGCTGCTGCTCCTGATGGTAAGTCTGCTTTTCAAAAAGTGTTAGTCACTTGGACTTGGGTTCCTAGGCAGCATCTCCCTTTATGCTGCACAGCTTCTATAGGCAAATACAAGAATGCTTAAATGTTAACCTAATGAAGCAGTAGAACTAATGGTAACAGAAATGTTTTGAGACATTTTTCAGAAGAGAAAGGGGTGGTGAAAGCTGACACAGGGATTAAAATTTTTGTAATATTTTGTAATTAATTTATTTGTAGTTTCTTTTTTCTAATGGTCCCCATTTGTTTGGAGATTTATATTTTTGGTTGTGTTTGGTTGCTGGGTTGTTGGATTTTTTTGGTTTTGGAGAGTGCTGGTGACGAGTGGGTGGGTATTTGGTTTTTGATTTTTTCTTTTATTACTGTTTCTAAATTTTTTTTCTCCAAAGGCTTTTTCCTTTCTTTCTGTTTTAAACCATTAACAATTTTGTAGTAGCCATTCCTTGCAACCATAACCATTTCAGTTCTTTGGATTTCCTTGCTTTTTAAACTTTACTTTCTCTGTTGCTGTAGAATTTGTCAGACTGTTACCCTCTTGTTACTCTCTGTCTTGCTTTTTTTTCTTGGAAATAGTGTGGGACAGAATTAAGTAACTGTGGACCTCTAATAATTGTAACTTTTCTTAATACTGTTAGTACTGAATGGTTTATTTGCTTTGAAACATGTGAATGTTCTTTCAGTGACAATAAGTCAAGTAAAATCTGATAATGTTGTGGGTTTGACATTGGCTAAACGCCAGTGAACCCATGAAAAAATAATTTACTTCTTCTCTGCCATAGTTGAGCAGAAGAGGGGGAAAGAACAATCTAAAAGCTAATGGGGTGAGATAAGGATTAGGAGAAAAATACGTCAGGGGCAAAAGTTTAAAATTTATAAAATGTATAAAGAAAAATCTATTAACAGAATT